TTGGAAATTCAATTTTTAATAGTTGATAGAAATTTCTAGAAACCTTAAAAGCGGGAACCCTAGGAGCAGAAAACCTCAGCTTACTCGGCTCCGCAGCCAATGTCCAACACGCTGCCAAAGCTGCTGCACTCTTTCCTTCCTGTGCAGCAAGTTCGACACCATAAAGGAGAAAATTATGAACTTTTGGGGCAAACTTAGAATATTGGTTCATCAAAACATATCAAAAAGATGGCTGGTAGCTTATAAGCTATTTTTATGTCTTTGTATTTATTTATTATCTTCTATGAAAGATCAAACATATAAAAAAAGGAATAAATATAAGATCAAAGTATTAAGAAATCAAGTTATTTTTTTATTTTATGTTTTCTTTTTTGGTTTATTATAAATATTTAAAGTTTGATGGTAATAAATTTGATTATTTTCCAAAATATTTTCATGTTAATCTCTAGTATACATTTTATTTAGATAAATCACTTTAATAATACATTAGCTTATGCATAACATCATTACCATCAATTGATAGCATAGAGTACCACGGCGGGTGGGGGGAGGCAATTAAGCAGCAAATATTCACCACCAAGATATTAATAGGATGGTAATATAGAGATTCTGAACAACTATGATGCAAAAAAGCACATATTTCTTTCCACTTAAAGAAAATCTAAAGGTTTATTAGAAATGAGATGAGAACGTCGGTGCACCCAGAATATCTAATAAACTAAATAAACGTAACAAAGAATGATAGAAATGAAATGAGAACTTCGGCGCACCCAAAATATATTAATAAACATTCTAATGTGCTAAATGTTTATTTTAAGGATGAAATAGATCAATTTTCTTTGGGGCTTATTCCATTAACTATGCCTTCGTGGAGTGTATGATGAAATGCTTTGTTCGTGATTGAGATGAGACTTTATATAAAATTACCTGCACAGAAATGGAATGCCCAATTGCAATTGGGAACAAAATTCGCCAGCACATCCATATATAGTTCAAATAGAAACCATAATAATTGATCGAACCAATCGAAGGTATGTACACAGAGCAAAAATAATGATCTTGACCGCCATTGTGTTCGGAGCTGTGGGACCTCTTCAGGCCGCCAAACGCCCCTGGAACGAAGCAGTGATAATAATTCAAAAATGGTATAAAACTGTTAACCCAATAATTTATGATTCTTGAGGTGTACAAAAGGAAATACAAAAATGAACAAAAAGAGTACCAAGCTAACTCGTCCACTTTCAAACCATTGTCTGCCCGTGAGTTTCTTCTCTTTTGGTGCAGCAAGTGTTGAATCCGGCATTAGCCTAAATCTTGTGTGCATGAAGACTATTAAGCAATAACATCAATATATATGATCTCATCATTCATTAAACTAGCCAAAAATTTTGTCCCTAACTTAGTTAAAACTCATTGTAGCCAAATTAAAGTTCGTAACTACTGAGGGAAAACATACACCCTTTCTTTCACCATAAAAGTTAAAAACCATAAAAGCTAAAAATTTATTGCTCTCTTTTTTCCCTGTCTATAGACCTTGAAAAAACTCCCTCCATGTGACATTTTACTTCTCAGAACATGTTCTAGCACAAGGTAAAATTATATAACGAACAAGTGCTAATTCTGCTTCAAACCTCTCTCACTTTGTATATTCAACTAATCATAATATAACATGGTGAGAAGTATGATAATTCATATTTAATAAGACAATATATCCTCTATTTAATCCCAAGAGGATGACTTATGCCATAACAATGAAAACATAAAAAATAAATGCATCCACAGAGCAACATATAAATGATAAAATTCTACAAATTCCATGAGATAAACAAACCTGTAAAGAAACTTGGCATGACTGTATGTCGTGCGTACCAATGCTTGCAAAACAAAGTTCATAAAACAAGTATTTCCTAAGTTGTTCAATCCCCTCAATCCCAAATGGCACACATGATTTTGACCTTTGTTTTACATTTCTCCTAAAAACCAGCCTTTTTCACGCTTGTAGTTGCAAGTATGAGAAGCTGCTAAAAGTTTTAACCACATTAGTGACGGTTTTGTAGTAAGTGAAGAAATGTTATTATCTCACACAAGTTAATAGTATATGCAATAAATATAAACTTACAAAGTATGTGGTGGCGCAAAAGCAAATTCACCGAAAATCCTACGAGGCTGCTAAAGAAGGGGAAAGTAATTTGAAGAAAGATTGTAAATACTGGAAAAGAAAATAATTAGATGATAAGTGCTAAAAACCAAATGTTCCATCCAAAAAATAGCAAAAATACAGAACTCACCACTCAGAAAAAGTATGAAGAAGCTTCTGCTTCTAGCAAGACCATGTACATATATACAACACAAAAAACAGAAATCCATCGATAAGAATGAAGAAAAGAAGGAACAAAAGAAGGCAAGAAAGAAAGTAAAAATGTACTCATGCTAACTAAGACTAACATAATCTCTATCACACAAGCCAGAACCAGATAAATTAAGAGTGAATATAGTGATACTTAAAGGCAGAAGAACTTTTGCGGCCTCATTTGCATCCGCTCGACATCCACTGCATGAAAAGGAAAAAAAAAATGAAACGCTAAGTTCGATGATGTTGTGCAGTTGAATGAGTATAACATTCTCTAACCGAATACTTCCACATAAACATGTATGCTTCTGAAAAAAATAGAAACGAAAACAAATAGTTATAAATTAATTTCCTTCACTTGCTGCATAGAAAAAGACATCTCATTACAAGGGATAACTCAAACGCAATTATATTCGATTAAGAGCACAAAGATACCAACTTTAATAAAACATCCATTTGAATAGATAACACAAACACAAAACGTGCTTATATACGATGAAAAAATAGAACCAAGATTCCAACTTTAATAATCTCGAAAAGGAAACCGAGAAAGACTCCATTTATAATGAAAACCAAGAATCAAGAACCCAACATTCATCACACCAAAAACCCATAAACAAAAATTGGACTGGAAAAAAAACCACAAGAAAATGTCGTTTTCACCACCCACACGAAATAAAGAAGCAACATTTATCACCTGGTTGATAATCCTATGGGAGTCAACCGATTTCGTGGTTCACCTTATTAATAATCCTATGGGAATCGATAGATTTCGTGGTTGATCGACAGAGGACGCTACACCTTCTTGATAAGCCTATTCTTGATAATCCTATGGAGGCAGATAATTCGGTGCGTTTGCGAGTTAAGCTTAGTTGCCTACCCGTGGTTTAGGACTGTATTATTAATACTACTTCATTATATACCAAATCATGAAATAAGAATTGAAGCAGCAAAATGTTAATTGACATTCTAAGTCAATGAGCTGCACTAAACCTCTATTCTGTTGATATTACAAATACCTTAGAAATTGGTGTATAAATAATTGATTAAGCAATATACCCAATTTCAACAACTATAACCTCAAATACCAAAGCCCATTCAAAATCTCACTACTGGTTTTGCACACAAGCTACTGAATAAAAGAAAAAAAAACAATACATTACTTGCAAAAGTGGCCCGACTGGGATGTCGTAAAAGAGATCGTGAAGGGCACTGAATTCTCAGTCGGCCGCCGATCTAGGAAGGATGTTATTTCACAGGCGTGCGATCGAGTCAAATGAAGAAAGTCGTGTCGATTTATCGATTCACTGATGGAGCTCGGGTGAAGGAGATCCTGAAGGGCGCTGAATTCTCAGTCCGCCGCGGATGGAGAAAACGTGAAGATGTTGATTTTGATGACGGAGAGGTGTCTTATCGATTTCGGAGCTTGGGTGAACGATTTGGCGAGGTCGCTTTATGTAGGATTTAGGTGAAGGATTTTGCGTCGCTCTGTGAATGATTTGGGGGCAGATTAGGACTGTTTTGAACAAAATGATTTAACAAATGAAAACTCACTTGGTTCTCTCAAGTGTTGTACGCTTCAAACCTCTCTCTCCATGCCAAAAATCTGGACAGTCACAGCTTCTCCATGTGGCACAATAACCTGAAGAAGAGAAACATACAACACTTTTAACACACGACAACTCACTGGCAGAGAAAAGCGTGTGAGTCGGAGCTAGTAAACAATACCTCGTCTTTTATGGCCTGGTCGTAGGGAATCGGCAAGAGGAGGCAACAAGCGCTCAAGAGTCCGTCGTTGCCTCTTTTCGACGGGTCACCGCTTTGAGTCGGCGAGCCGATGAACATGTGTACCAGCAAGCTCTCCATTTGCCCTAATTTTTTTAAATTCAGTCCTCGCCCTATTTGTGTCGTCGCAGTACTACATGCCGACTTACCCCCAACGGACATAGGTGGCGACGCGTATGATCTTTTTGCGATTAAGTAACAACGATGACAGTGGTCGGGATAAAGGAGAAATAAATTTAGAGACGCGAGATTGAGAAGAGTGGAAATATAGGTGAAAAGTAGATGTTGCGGAAATTTTAAGTTGGAGAGAGTGAACACAATTCACGGAAATCACATCACAGAAGACGTGGAGAGAGGCAGAAATTACAGAAAATCCCAACTGCTGCGAGTGATTTCCGGGACAGAAGATCATGTAAGAGAAGAAAAATTAAGGGCGAGAGGATTGCGCCGTACGACCACCATCTCACCAGCTTTTCGGGTGTTTGCAGCGAAGATGTCTTCTAAGGGCAACCCTGTCATTTGACAACAAAAGCAGTGGATTAACAAAAACAGCTGATATTAAAGGGCATTTTTGTCCAAACAAATTGACGCGTGTCAGCGCCACAACCCCTACAACATTTTCTTATATGTTAAAGAGAGATAAAAAATAAGAGAAAATTTACAAAATGGCTAGCCTCGAAAAAAAAAAAAAAAAGAAAAAA